GAGGTACTGCTTGCTCCGTGGGGGCTGGGGTCCCCCTTTTCCAAGCCTGGGGGGAAGCCAGATCCCAGCCCAGCTTTGTGTCACCCCCCTAGGCCAGCGGCGCTGAACAGGATCCTGGTGGAGTGGCTGGAGGGGCTCCCCCCCGCCACTCCCTTGCCCAAGTTCTCCAGGCTGTGAGCCGGCTCCTTGCCTCCTCCCCGGGCTGATTTTGCCTTTAGGGTTGGATTTTTCACCTTTAGGGTGTGATTTTTGCCTTTAAGGTTGGATTTTTTTACCTTTAGGGAGTGATCTTTACCTTTAAGGTTGGATTTTTTTACCTTTAGGGTGTGATTTTTGCCTTTAGGGTTAGATTTTTTTACCTTTAGGGTTGGATTTTTTTACCTTTAGGCTGTGATTCTTGCCTTTATGACTTGATCTGTATGTTGGGGGGGGTTGATGGGGGGGAAGTGAGGCTTGGATCAGGGCTGGGAGGAGGGTGGCACAAAGCATCGCCCCTGCTTTGTGCAGCTAAAAGGATCCCTGTGAGCTTTTGTGGGGGTCCTGAGAGATGGTTTGGGGCTGGACCCCCTCCTTATGCCATGTCTGGGGCTGCACCGGGGCTGGCGCATCACCCTGACCCCATCCCGGGGGCTTCCCTCGCTCAGGGGTTTGGCCGAGAGCGTCCTGGATCAGTTGGGTTTGATGTGGAGCTTTGAATGCACTAATAATAATTAACGCTGCTTGAGAAATCACCTTCTGCCTTGTAACGTTGAGAAATAAAGCACAAAATGACCCGAGCACCTCAGCTTTCCCCGCGGTTCTTGGGGTGCAGGTTCCTGCAGCATCCCCCTGCCTCTTCCCCTCCTCCCTGTGGCCCATCCCCGTGGTGCCAGGGCTGAGTCCCTGGCTCCAGCCCCCTTCCCCGGCGCTCCCGGCCCTTCTCCCGGCCTCAACAGACGTTCTAAACCACCATCCAGGACGCCGGGAAGGATTTGGGCAAACACGTTTGGTATTTCCCCCCCCTCCCAGATTCGCCCCAGCCCTCAGCTATTTTCAGCTGGGGCTTTGCGGTTTGTTTGTCTGCATCCCTCCTCCCTTGTCCTTCCCCATTCTGCCAACAAGCCCACGGAAATGTTTTGCCTCTGGATTTATCCCTTAAAAAGGAGCTGCGTGGATTTGGAGTGGGGGGACAGGGAAAAAAAAACCAAAACAAACAGCCCCTGGATGGGCAGCAAGAGGTTTAAACCTGCTCCCTCCAGCCTGGAGTTATCCATAAGCCTGGCTGACATCCACTCCAGCTTTTGGGAGCTGGTTTTGAAGCTGCTTTGGACTCTCCTCCAGGTTTTGTGAGCGGGTTTTGCAGCTGTTTTGGGCTCCGCTGATGAAATGTAAAATCCAAGAGCATCATCCCCGGGCAGCTGGGAGCTGCGGCCAAGCACCCGCCCCAGAGCCCTGCCCGGAAAGGCGGGCGGGTGCTGCCAAAATAGCCTCTCCCATGGCGCTGGCATCTGGGTTTTGGGGTTTTTTTATAGGTGTTTGCAGCCTCCTGCCAGCCCGCCCTGCACCCCAGCCCTGGGCAGGGGCCTGAGCGGGGTGTTTCCACCCAGCTCTTGGGGGGCTGCAAGGCTGCAGCAGCACCCAGCAGTGCACCAGCCCTCCTGCTGGGAACGCTTTGGGGAGGTTGGAGGGACCTACAGAGAGCTCCCAAGCTCCCTTCCCTCCTCCCACACTACATAATCTCCCCCCACACACACTGCCACAGCAGGACATTGTTCTGGCAGCCCCTCCTCACACAGATTCCCACCCCACGGCAGCTCCGTGCCCCATCTCCTGCAGCTCACAGCACCTTCTCCGCCTCCCCCCCACCTCCCCTGGCTCTACAGGTCTTTGGTCCCATGGGTGCACACATCTTTGGTCTGTAGGCATCCCCAGCCCCCTGGGTGCTCATGGCCCTGATCCCCTGGGTGCATTTATCCTCCATCCCTGAAGTGCACGTGTCCTTGGTCCCCTGGGTGCACGTGTCCCCGGTCCCCTGGGTGCATTTATCCCCAGGCCCTGGGGTGCACATGTCCCCGGTCCCCTGGGTTCAAACATCCCTGATCTCCAGGGTGCACATGTCCTCAGTCCCCTGAGTGCATTTATCCTCCATCCCTGAGGTGCACGTGTCCTTGGTCCCCTGGGTGCCTTCATCCTCTGTCCCTGAGATGCATGTGTCCTTGGTTCCCGGGGTGCAGGCATCCCTGGTCTCCAGGGTGCACGTGTCCTTGGTCCCCCGGGTGCATTTATCCCCTGTTCCTGAGATGCACTTGTCCTTGGTCCCCTGGGTGCACGTGTCCTCCATCTCTGGGGTGCACGTGTCCCTGGTCCCCTGAGTTCATCCATACTCCGTCCCCTGGGTGCTGTCCCCCCCACCCCGGGCTGTCCTTGGCCACGCTCAGCCAGCTCTGGTGCCCACAGCAGAGGGCAACTGGTCAGGATGGTGCCACCCCACCACCTGCAAAGCAGTGACCCAGGAAACCAGCTGAGCCAATGGAGAATCGCAGAATCCCAGAATCACTCAGGCTGGAAAAGCCCCTCGGGATCATCGAGTCCAACCCTCAGCCCGACTCTACGAAGGGAAGGGA